TTCAAATGGTTGTATGTCTACGTGATGCTACAATAGACGAGAAAAGAGAGAACAATCCACACTTAGGTGATGTGCTGAGCAAAGCGAGCGATAGAAAGGAGGAAGTTTGATTGCAAGGTNCGGTTGTTTTTGCACTCACCAGCTAAGAATTTTTATTATCATACTTCCGTTACCTCGTAAAGAATACGATGAGATGGTATTAGCATTTCATTGTTCTCGCGCAGCATTTTCCGTTGCCTCGCCATCCTTTCTGGAGCGGAGCCCCACCATAGAAGTTCATTGTGCTGGCCATTCTTTCTGCTGGTCCTCCTCAGCCCGGGATTCCCACCCTGCCGCCTCTCCCTCGCGCCCTCCCTCCTGTTTGCCCTTTCACCGTTGTGTAATGCCTTTTTCATTTCCTCCTCTGGAGCACCAAAAACAAGGAATCCAGTGTAAAGGGTCTGTCACCAATGCTGCGTTTTTGCCGTTCTCGTCTTGCCATCGGCGCGTACGCGCTGTTCATGATGGAGCAGAAGAAAAATCCCGCCCTGAGCGGCCTCCCAATTGCGCAGCGTGGGAAAATGACCTCGAAGCTCTACAAGGCGCTTGCCCCTGCTGAGCGTGCTGCACTGGAGAAGCGTGCCAAGGCCATGCCGTCGCTGAAGCGCGCCAAGAAGCCCAAGGCAGGCGCGAAGGGTGAAGAGAAACCGAAGCGTGCCCCGTCGAAGTACGCGCAGTTTGTGAAGGCCAACCTGCCCAAGTACAGCCAGTTACCCAGCAAGGAAAGGCTCGCTGCGGTGGCAAAGCTGTGGAAGCAGCAGCAGCAGCTGCAGCAAAAACCCCAAGTGCATGTGAGAAAAATATAGACGAGCCCAAAAGCGTTCAAATGATTGTATGTCTACGTGATGCTACAATAGACGAGAAAAGGGAGAACAATCCACACTTAGGTGATGTGCTGAGCAAAGCGAGCGATAGAAAGGAGGAAGTTTGATTGGAAGGTGCGATTTGTTTTTGCACTCACCAGCAAGAATTTTTATTATCATACTTCCGTTACCTCGTAAAGGATACGATGAGATGGTATTAGCATTTCATTGTTCTCGCGCAGCATTTTCCGTTGCCTCGCCATCCTTTCTGGAGCGGAGCCCCACCA